TTCCGCCACATTTTCTCCCAGCAGGTAAATGTGTTGTGTAATGGAGATGGACTGGCACCACATTAATTGTGAATTCTGTTCAAATACACTTGAACTTGTGACTATGTCTTTAGCTCTCCAGATATAAAACAATACTCCACCACTAATCACCCCTATTTTATAAATTGGTATTTTTATAATCACTGTCATTTGGATACACTTATTTGTGTATATATTTTAACTATTACCCCAATCCATGTATCCAAAGAGGAAATTAAAAAATATTGTCGTTCTCTGATAAAAAGGATATGTGGCTTATTTTTTTCAAATCCATTGGGATATGTTTCCTTGCCAATAAGTTAGTTTACTTTCAAATCACATTTGCTATATTCTGATTTAAAAAATTATATATATATATATGTATGTATATATTAGTTGTTGGACACAATACCTTTATTTTATTTATTTTTATGTGGTGTTGAGGATCAAACCCAGTGCCTCACACGTGCTAGGTGAGTACTGTACTGCTGAGCCACAACCCCAGCCCCCATATTCTGATTTTGTAAGTGGAATTATCCTAAAGTTCCTTCATTGTCTTGTAAAAAATCACTTTTTTTAGGTAAAAATGAAGATGGCAACAATGCAAGTTAAATTTCAGTATTCTTTGCAGGCAAATGACTCATTCTTGATAACTTTACTTATATGGGTTCCTTTATGTAGAAATAAGTGATGCATATGTAATAATCATGGTTAACTGCATTAGGGAATGAATAATTTTCAACTGGGGGCTTCTGGCAACCAGTGATATAGCACCAGAGCAGGGCTGGCAGAGAGGAGGAGTTCAATAAATGTTTGTTACATGAATCTTTAGTAAGTTATGCAATATTTAGCATGCCTGAGAGTGTGGAACATTTCAAAATGCAAAAATCAATGCAATTTGTTAAATTTGGAGATTGTTAGTCCTTTCACATATAAGCTTATTTTTCTTTTCTCATTTATATAGTACTAAGATCAGTTCTAAGCCATTAAAGTTTTTCTTCAAGAAGAAACCAATACAGTAGAAGAGAAATTAGAAATTTCCCGTACACATTTTGAAAACTCTGAAAGTTTCTAATTTCAAATATAGAATATAGTTTGGTGAGTGGCACTAATTTAATCTATGTGTCTTGTTTTTTAATACTGAAACTTCTACAAGGGTCTCAAACAAAAACATTCCAAAGCTCTGAATTTTAGACTATGACATAAGTTTAGGCAACATAATTAAGAAAAATACAAAAAGAGAGCAGGTAGATTTTTAAAAACTATTTTAATACAAGATTAATAGCAATTTTCTATCCAAATCAGAAATGAAAAATCTTAACCCAAATAATAGTCATTTGACAGTCACATAAAATTTTAGGTTTGATTGGTGCACACATTTATCCTGCACATATATTCTATAAATGCACACAGAGACCTCAGTACTATGCTGTCCTTGGGTGTTTTCTCATGGAAGTAGCTCTTCGCAAGGCAATGTCAAAGATTCCGGTAACTACTCAACTTTGAATGACGCTCCAAATGTTCCCATGCCAAGCTGAGTCTGTGCCGTAGCAAACCATGATATAGCAAGTCTCTAGAATGCGTACAAATCAATACGCTATTTGTATTAAGTTGGCCTAAGACTAAACACTGGTTAATGTCTCCACCGAGGAGGAATACATTACAAATTTATAAGTTATAGTCTCCTTTACTCCTCTTCTGTTGGCAAAGCTAAACTGATTTTTTCTTTTTAATTAAAATCAGATCTGTTCGTGACTGTAAGTTAATGAAAATGAGTTTGAATTTCTTCAAGTTTTGGATAAGTCAAAACTTGCTTTTTTGAACATTTCTACCTTTAATCAAACCACATGATAATTAGCCTTGCAAGGAAGTAATAAAAGAATCACAACTCAAGAATTTGCTGTTTTACTCCTCCTCGGGGACTTTAGTTGGTGTTTGGTCCATAGCCAAAACATGTATGTAATGGCAAAAGAATGACAGTAGGCTAATGTCTGCAGCAGGGAATGTAAATTAAATATGAGGGTTCTGCATCCAATAGTATTTCCAATGTAATTTAACGAATGTTACTTTTTGAATTACTACTGCTTATTGATGAGTAATAGTGTTTCTCAGTGTAGACAAAATAGGATTTTCTATCCCTTACATTGGAAGCACATGATGTGAGTAACTTATCCATCTGGGTAAATCACTATAAGGGAGTCAGATTTCTAGTGCTAATAGTCTGTGATGGCTATAATCAAAGTGCCAGCTTGACCTTCATTAAATGACAGGAGACTGTCACGCTGCCCTTCAATACAGAACCACAAGCAGATCTCTCATAGGCAAATTTGCAATTCATTCTTCTCTGCTAAAGACTTTAGCCTCCATTTAGCTTTTGTTGTAACATATACAAAGTATAATATACATCAGTTACAGACGTGTATTTCTGTTAGAAAAATACATATTATAACTAAAGAACATGTAAATAGAGGCACTTCAATAAGCTAAGTGTTTGCAGTTATGAGCATCACCCACCAATTTCTAGTGTCCAATTGCAGTGAGCTTATTCCTCTCTACTCATAACAGAAGTTATGATGTGATTACAGAATTAAGGGGACATCAGAACAAAGGAAGGCAGGCCGTGAAAGATAATGGAGCATCACTGCATCCCCTATCACTGTGCTGAAACAAGAAAAATTAATTTGGGAGGGGGAATTTCAAAATACTTACTGAACAGGGATACCTGGATGAAACTAGATTCCTTAGGGACTGAAGAAAATTCTCATGGTCAATTATTCTGAAAAGCATATGACATAGTAGCATGATGATCAAAACCAGGAGGTGCAGTTCTGTAACATTTTAACCATATCCATGCAGGGTGACTAATATTGTGGCATTATTAACTGAGAGTCATTTCAGCTCTCTGCCTGGCTCATATGCATCACTGTATCTTATCCATAGGAACAATATTGATAATGAAGGCGTTGAAACAAACGAAGCAGGCATTTATATATTATCTGTGTGGTTAGTGCGTATAGAACATAGGTTCACATTCATTCATATAATGTGTATTCAAACACATGCACAAAACTGGTTGGGTGAGAAAGCACAGGGAAAAAACAAAGCATCTTGATTTATTTTATAGAAGCGAATGCAGAAATATTTTTAGAAAAAGAGTTGGAGTTTAAAGCCATAAAAATAAGTTGTTACTCAAATATTCTGGAAAAATCAAGGTTGATTGAATTTGTATTGCACCTTAATTATTGGAGAAAACCAGTTCTGATTTCTGAACACACAATGAAGTGAGCAACATACACAATTGGTCCTTCTCAGAGATGTGTTATGTGTAACTGGTGATAGGAAGCTGAAGGTTGGCAGTGAAATGGATGGATTTCAAGAAGTGTGTAATGCTGAATTAGACTTAATGTTAATTTCATCGAGATTTAAAGGAAAGATACCACAAAGTCTCTCTGATTCCTACATTTCATATTTCGTTAGGCAATAGAAGCTTGGAAAACTTTCTGTTTTGCAAAAGTGCTCAAATATACTTAATACCATTGTGCCGCATGTGTTCTACTTAAACGTGATGACTAAATCAATAACTAATTTTAAGTTTGATGAGAACAGAGATCGAAAAATACTGTTTACGTGTCAATACTGTCAATGAGTTAGTTAAAATGCGACTGGCATACTATGGGGTCCTGACATATTACTTTTCCTAACTCTGGACGCATTGTAAAAAATCAAGAAACACATGGACAGCCAAGTATACTCAGAAAGCCCCAGTTTGGTTTGTTTTGCTTCTCTCTGCCAGGAGGAGCATGGGGCCTGGCTTTGGCTTACTTGGCAGACAGGGCAAGCTGAGACTCTAAACCGGTCTCCTGAGGGTAGGTCATTTATCCAAGTGCCAAGCAGGAATCTGAGGCCGAAGGTGTTGCACATGAAAGCAATGTTTTTTTGTTTGTTTGTTTTGCTTTTTTTTTTTTTTTTCCTTTTTTCGTGAATAACATTCTTTACACATACAGTTTCCCTTACCAGCAAAGTCCTGCACACCCATGGCTTGTCCCATGAGCTCAGGACAGGTCTGGAGCAATGGGGACAAAGCAGGCTCACGCAGAAAGGATGTGCCCTGGCAAACTTTTAATAGATGGACAGTTAGATACGTAAAAAGTTCTCTTCCTTGATTCTTGGTGCTCACAGGTCATTGAGGGATCCCTTCTCTGAGCAGCACAAAACAAGAAGAGCTGGTTGACAAAACATTTTTTTTTTTTTTTTACAAAGGTGTGTCAACCCTGAGCTTGGAATTAAGAAGTTAAAATCTGTGATTTATATATATATAGATATAAAAATAGATGATCATACTAAGACTAAAAAAGTGAAAGAAATCTCCATGTCCATACTATATATATATAGTTTCTTTTTTTTTTTTTTTTCTTGAAATTTTTTGTTGTTGTGAGTTATTTTGTAGGAGAATGCCCTTGTGATGCAGAAACCAATCGACACAAAGCAAATAGTCAAACAGGAAAACTTATCTATGGATCTAACTGTTTATCAACTCGGTAAAACAAAAACCAAAAAAACCAACAAACTCCTATTTTAGGAGGGTAATGAACACAGGGCAGAAACATCTAAATTCATGTCAAACCTGTGGCAAAAGCAGAGATTGTATCACTGAAGATGATATTTCAATTGCGATGTTGGAGCGGGGGATGATTTGATGGGGGTGTACACTAGTAACTGAAGATGAAGAAGAAATCTGTGCCAATTGGATACAATGGACAGACATTAAGACAATTAAGGAAAATGGAGCCATTACTGACGTTGACGTTGGGCAGGTTGAGAGAGAGGTGCTGAGTTGGAGTAAGTTTTGCTCTCATATTAAAGATGGAATTCTAAATTGATTATCAGTACCTCCAAATCAATTTGGTATTTGTGGTTAGAGTGCAAGATGACACCTCCAAGACAACAGTGTAATTTTACTACATTTTTTTTTTTTTAATTTCAAGCTTTCTCCCCATAAGCATTTTGTAAACCTGAATTGTCACAGAAAAGCTTACCCTGGGAGTTGGCTGTCAATGCAGAACCTAGAGCATTGCAGTTCCTTTATTTTGCTCTTTTGTTGCTTCTTTGTTGAAAATGCAGTTGTCTTGGGGTTTGGCCTGATTTTAAAAGGAAAATTATTTTCTTCCTACCTTTTAATTTTTTAAATGGGGTGGGGGGAGAAAAAACTCACAACGTGAGACTTCTTTACTTCTGCAGCATAAAAGCAAATGAAGGTAAGAAAATCTCCTGGTACGAAAGATTGGAGTAAGAATTCTCTCTGGAATAAACAAAGTCCCCACAGATAGCTGAAAAGAGGAAGCAGTTCATCTGGCACCCGGTACTCTTTGGGAAAACAAAAAGGGAGGCAGATCTCAGTACTGCTCTCTTCTCATAGAAAACGGTAAGTTTTTGTGGTATAGTCCATTGTCCAAGAGTGTAAGAAAGGAAGGGAGTTGGCCACTCAGATAGCTAAAATGCAGTTTCATCTGACCAAAACCCAGGATTATCTGCAGAGTCTCTGCAGTGCCAACACCATGCAGACCAGGGACCATGAGAGCAGGGAGTGGCCAAGCCCGGCAGCAGAAGAGTCCTCTTCTCTCCTGTCGGGGTCAACTGCAGGGGCCTCCGTGGTGACAAACTCAAACTCTGTGGGACACACATCATCCATGCACCCACTGCCACTCCCTGAGCCGCTGGATTCATCACCTGGTATGGAAAGATTGAAAAAGAAAGTTAGGCCACACTCCAGGAAGAAATGGAGGCAAAGAACACAGCAGATCCGGGCACTGAGGCAGGAACTGTCCCATCCAAGGGTCCCCCATGGTGCAGGTGGGCGGGCAGCTTTATGATGGACGGGTGGACTGTATGCAAATAAGTGGCTGAAACACAACATTAATTGATAACCCGAGTTATAAGTCATCTCTACCATGTTTGGCATCAGAAAGATATTTCTTTCTCTGGCCAATATTTAAATTACATTAAGAAATTTCACTTTGTGTTCTGAGCTGGTGTTCTCAGCAGATACCATGCCTTTAAAGGAATTTTGAAAAGGACACTTTTTTTTTGTTTTATTTTTGATATAGGGAATTGAAACCAGGGGCACTTAACACTGAGCCACATCCTCAGCCATTTTTTTTTTGGGGGGGGGCAGGTGGGTGTACCAGAGATTGAACTGAGGGGCACTGGATCACTGAGTCACATCCACAGCCCTATTTCATATTTTATTTAAAGACAGGGTCTCACTGAGTTGCTTAGCACCTCACTTTTGCTTAGGCTGGCTTTAAACTCACGATCCTCCTGCCTCAGCCTCTGGAGCTGCTGGGATTATAGGTGTGCGCTACTGCACCCAGCCCCTCAACCCCTTTTTATATTTTATTAGAGATAGGGTCTCACTGAATTGCTTAGTGCCTTGCTAAGTTGCTGAGGCTGGCTTTGAGCTTGTGATCCTCCTGCTTCAGCCACCTGAGCATTTTAAAGGAAAGCACAGAGAAGGAAAACAACCATGCGAGTAGGAAATCGGAGGAGCCACAGTGCAGGGCTGTGGAAGGGAGACCTTATGGTTGCTTTTAGCTATTTTTCCCCATTCATGTTCTCCTCCCAAGGGCAAGGATGGGCCCTTTCTTACCCAGCACCTCGCTCTACACCAGGGCTTGACCAGCTACGACCTGTTGCCTGTTTCTCTAGGGCCCATCACCTAAGAGCAGTTTTTATAATCTTAAGAGCTTGGGGAAAAAAGTCAGGAGTAATGTTTTGTGACATGTAAGAAGGCTACATGTGAAATTCAGACTTCAGTGTCCAGTTGTGAAGTCAGATGGGACCGTGGCCTCACATCTGGGTTATCTCCAGTTGCACTGTCATAGGGCAAAGTCGAGTAGTTGTGACAGCACTGGATAGATCTCAAAGTTGTAACAGCATATCAGAACAGAAAGTTTGGCGTTCCCTGCTTGAAACCAGAGCTCAGGCGCCCCCATGACCTGTTGTCCCTGGGGGGCGTCTTCCCCTCTGCCCTCCATGCCTCTTGGCCTGCTCTAATCCCAGGTCTGACTGCTTGGTTCCTTCTTTGTGATAAACCTTGTCTCTCAGATATGGCCCCAGACCAGGTTCCAGCGGTCACAGTCAGTTCTCTGTATCAGGGTTCTGAATCTCTGTTGTCAACCAACTGCGGATCAAGAATAATTCCGGAAAGTTCTGAAAAGCAGAACTTAGAGATGATGAATGACCTCATATAGGAATTACAAGGGAGCTGCCTCCCTCCCTTCTGCCTTCCTGCCACGCGTGGCCAGAGGTCATTCTCTGGAGGGCACAGTAACAAGGTGCCATCTGGGAAGCAGAGACGGGACTTGCCCTGGACTCCAAACCCTGGCCCTTGACCTGAGATTTCCCAGCCTGCAGAACTGTGAGAAATAAATTTCCTTGGCTTTTAAATTTTTTTAAAAAAGAGCAAAACTTGAATTTGCTGCATACCGAGTTGAATCCACATAAATGGAGTGATGTGTCAGAAGTCCCTGATGGGGCCCCTGCCATATCAGACCCTCAGTCTCTCCCAGCACTGGGCACTATGTTGTTAGTCCTATGATGGTTGTGTTGTACTGAGCATGAACAGGCATTTCTTTCTTGTCACGATTCCCTAAACAATACAGTATAATAACCATTTCCATAGCACTTACATTGTATAGGTGTTAGAGGTGATTTAGAGGTGATTTAAAGCATATAGGAGGTTACATGCAAATACTAAGCCATTTTATATAGGAGACCGGAGCATCTGTGGATTTTGGTGTCAGGGGAGGGGGGCTGAAACCAATCTCCCACTGTTGTGTCAGCTTTGTGAAGGTACTTGTCTCTACCTGAGATTGTATTATTTATTTGTCTGTTCAGTCGTTTACTGTTGATTTCCTCTTGAGAATGTGTAGAATGTAGTTATTGTTCACTCCTGAATTTTCATGGCTCCTGGCATATAGCAGGTGGTTGGTAAATACTTGTTGAATAAGGAAATGTGCCTCTAGCAGTTGACTCAGTTTCCTTATCTTAACCCACGTGGGTGATAGCAGGCGCCTTGCAGAGTGTATGTGAAGACGACTCCGTACAGTACAACAGAGCACCCAGCCCACCACTGTCAGTGACACCTGATAGAAAAACTATGGTTCCTACAGCAAAATTTAAGATGTCATTACTAATTTAAATGGAGTAGGGCAAGCTGAATAACTTTGCTGAGGCTACATTTTCTCACCTGCAAAAAAAATAAAATTAATAATGTCTATTTTACAAAATCATCATGAGGAATAAGTGAGAAAACATTCTCGGAAGGCATTCAGGAAACTAAGCTTTGTTTGGCGTTACGATTCCCCCTTAGTCAATGATCTAAGCTCCTCCCTGTTGGTCTGAGATGCTGATGTGCCTTGAGCTGGGATTGGCGCCATCTTGGCTACTGATGCTACTTAAGTGAAGCCATGGTAGTAGAGGGACTCTTCTAATGTGCCCTAGAGTGAGAAAGACAAAACTCAGCACTGTGTTATTGTTTTTCAAATGGGACATCTAAATATCAGATAAGATCACTTGAATACATATACTATGTTCTTAATATTTTTCTCTGCTTTATCTTTAATGGACTTTAAAAAGGGGCGGGTGATATCCATTGATTAAATTCAGAGACACCAGAATTGTGAAGGGACTTGTTCTGAACGTAGGTATCATGAACAAGAAGTAATATAACCTTTACAAAGATATTATTAGAGTGACTTGGAATATTAAAAATGTGAGAAGCAAAGAATGATAAGAGGTTCCAGCTGGGAAAAATAATGGCCCCATCTCTTTCTTAAAAGGAATAACAAACATGGTATTAGGACAAGGGATGGGCAACTTAAAAAATGTCACAAGCAATATGGGTGATGATGGCTGTGGGATGTGAAAGGTTTCCTATCACAGGCAGTATTCTAAAAGAGAGGCCAAATTTGGTGCTTGGGTTAGAGCTGAGTGATGCTCTTAACTGCTGTTGATTTTTATCTTCTTTTGAGAGGAGATGGAGCAAGGTCCCTGCCTCCTGGACCTTTCCTGAGCTTTGCAGATTGACACGCACATAACCTCTTTAAGTTCTCTCTCCTCTGTAAGGAGAGAGAAGCAATAAGGTCAACATCGGCTAATTCTTATGAATCTTGAATTATTCATTCCAACAGTTACTCTGCAGGTAAGAAAGCATTTTATTACATGGAGGAGACAGAATGGATAAAACGCGGAAAATGTGGCTAAGTAGTGAGCAAGGCAGAAGCAACAAAGCCTAAAACTGGGTCTAACATTCTCTTCTGAAGAGGAAGGGAAAGGTTTAGTTAAGAAGAGAGAGGATAATGGGATGATTCTAGAATTTCTACAGCAATGATGTCCATCAGATGATGATTATCCTGGGCTTCGAAAATTCTTTTTGACTTCTTTAAAATGGAATAATGCTCTTAAAATTTTCTTCAGGGGATGGCTCTGTAGGATGGTGGCAAAGACTTAGGTGACTTAATGTCTTCCATCTGTAACTTGCTTCTTTCTGTCTCATTAATTCAAGCACACAGGCATTGTCTTTTGCTTCAGTGACCAAATTACAGAATCACTGGCAACTTCACATCTTAGCTCCAGGATTCTTTTCCCAGGAACTCTCTTTGTAAAGGTTCACACTTAAGAGGAAATCAACACAACAAAAAACAAAAAGCCAAAGAAAATATCTGCCTTTGTAGTTATGCCTTTTGAATCCACTTAGACAAAACACAAATATAGTTAGTTTCATGTTCATGTTCACTTGCTAGTCCTTCAAATCACTTCTAATGCTTTTGTGATCCTTAATAAAATAGTCATGTATGATATTGCACCAGCATTTTTTTTTGATTCCTCTCAGTATTTCAGATGCCAGCACCTGTGGTTTCTGTGTATGTGCACAATCTGAAAGACAGGAAATTAATGCAGTTGAACTCCCTCACTACCCACCAGGCACTGTCTTAGCTCCTTATAAATCACCTTGAGGGAGCTTCCCAACAGCTCCTTAGGCAGGGGTGCTTCCCATTCTATAGAAGGGGAATCCTAAGACTCAAGAGGTACAGCTGCTTCTCAACTTAGGATGAAGTCACATCCCCATAAACCCATTGTTGAGTTGAAAATATTCATAAGTCGGAAATGCACTGAGCACATCTAACCTGCCTGACATGCTAACTTAAAAGCACAGCATTCTACAGGGTCAGCTGTTTCCCTTTGTGATCTGGCTGACTGGGAGCTGCAGCTTGCTGTCTCTGCCCAGCATGGTGAGAACATCGTACTGCATAGTGCTAATCTGGAAAAAGATCCAAATGCAAAATTTGAAGGACAGTTTCAACGTGAACGTGTATGGCTTTCGCACCACAGTAAACTCAAAGAATCATAAGTAGAACTGTCGTATGTCAGGACCATCTGTCTGCGTTCGGGATGCCAGTTTACGGGTGGTAAGACCGGGGGTGGGAGTTTGGGGCAGCTGTAAATGTAGATGTAGAGAGGAGAAAGTAAGAACATTACTTTGCTATTTTATCACTAATGGATCAACTGGTAGATGAAACTCAGAAACTCGGTTTTCCCTTTGGAATGGCTGCATGTGCCTACTGAAACTATTAAGATCAGTTGTGATTGTTGTATCATCCCAAGTTTTGTGGATTGGACAGCCTGAGGGGAAGAAGGAGACATCATTATGTGTGCACATTTCTCTTAAAGAAAAATGATGGTGTCATCTGCTATGACTGTTATTCACTCTGGAAGTGGCTGGTTCTGGTAAAGATTTCCTTACTGGTGTCCTGGAAGTTGACGTCATTGCCATTGTAGGCATTCTTCAATTTGTTGGTCATCACGCGCAGAGCCATGATCTGCTGTCTGATGAAGGTGTCTGGCCGTGTGATGTCCACATCCACCTCAGGGTTATTGATCTGGTTGGTCAACCCATCATTCATGATCTCAGGCAAGTATCTGCAAAGCAGAGAGGGAGAAACAAATTGGGGTGAGGCAGCAGGGACTCAGAACTGGACTCTGTCATGCTGTCTTAACAGCCAAACCACCTGGAACTGGACTTAATTCCTGGAAAAAAGTTTGCCCAAAAGCAAAAATGATTTTTTACAGAAGGCGATGTAGCTAAAATGGCTTTTGACTTGTTTTTTTTGTTTGTTTGTTTCTTGCATTTAAAATATATATACATATATATATTTTAAATTATATATAAACTATATTATATATAGTTATATATATTGATAGGATTTGTTGTTATATATTTGTTGATGCACACAATATAATAATATAATATGGCCATAATCACTCCCCTAGCACTGTCCCCTGATGCCTCAACTCCCACCACTTGGTCCCTTTCCTCTATTGATCTCCCTCTGACTTTCATGAGATCTTCCACCACCTTCCCCACACTGCCTTTTTCCTCTCTAGCTTCTTCGAATGAGAGAAAACATCTAACCCTTAACTTTCTGAGTTTGACTTATTTCACTTTTTATATCATGGGTCTCTAGTTCCACCCGTTTTCCTGTAAATGACCTAATTTCAATTTTCTTTATGGCTAAATAAAGCACCATTGTGTATATATATGCCACATTTTCTTTATTCACTTATCTGTTGATGGACACCTGGTCTGGTTTCAAAGTTTGTAAACTGTGCTACTATCACCATGGGTATGCCTGCATCACTGTATATGAGGACTTTAATTCTTTAGTACAAATACTAAGGAGCAGTATAGGTGAGTCATATGATGTTTTTTCAAGTGGCAGTGAATTCCTAGGTAGGTTGGCGGACAAATAAGTACTAAATCCTGTCTTAGAGACATCATTTCTTAAAATTAACTAAATCTTTTCCTCCTCATACAAAAAAAAAGTTGATGAGCTCAGTCAAGGGCTAGATAGCTTCCTCAGTTGTTAATTTTGGTTATAAGAACTAGATTTACACATGACACATGATCTGGGAGAGTTCTTTTGAGGAAGAGGCCTTACCCCAAAGAAGGGGCCCTTACCTCAGATTTTAATCTGAAGAACCTTCTGGATGTTAAAAAAAAAAATTGGGGGTGGGTGGGCATTATAGGATTAACCAGTGGCTGCTAGTATATTGGAGGTGTCTATTATGGATTTTATTTTGTAATGAAATCTTGGGTCTAATTTGGGGGATTTCCCAATATCTGGTAAAACAAAAGGGTGATATCTAATAGTCCTGAGCTCAGTATTTCTTTAACTGGTAACAAAATATCAAAGTTGTCAGCCCTTCAGGGTCAACTGCCAAAAGCTGTGGAGGCGTATTTCCGCAGCAGAGGCTGGAGATCTGCTCACGGCCCTCTCTGCCTCCTCCTGACGCTCACCTGCCAATTTTCCAGTCCTCTGACTCTTGTCTAAGGAAGCTTCTCATACCTGCTTCTTTGTTGCTATTTCCTGTGTCCTTTTTTTTTTTTTGAGTGCAGATGGCTAGAGTTGCTTTGCAATGACTTCCTTGCCCCTTTCTTTCTTTCTGGAACATCCTGCACATGCTGTCTGATTCATCTTCCTAAAATATCACTTTTGTCCTCTGTTCTGTCTGAAAACTTCTGAGGACGGTGGCTGATGCCCAATGAGCACTTATGAAATGTCAGGCCCCGCGCTCAGTGTTTTTTTTTAGGCAATTTTAAACCCAGTCCAACAGCATACCTAGGAGATTAGTATCATTTCATCTCCTTTTATGAAACAGAAAACCAAGGCTCAGTGAAGATAAGCAAATGTACAGTCTCATTGATGGCAAAACCATGATTTAAATGAAGTCTAGGCCCAAAGCCCAATGCCCAACCACTGCACCGTCTTGTTTGGCAGATCATAAACTAGGAGTCACACTTTACAGCTCAGCCATCTAAGCCCGTCTCTGTCCAGGTCTGCTTTCTTATGCTGCGATACTCCCTCTAAGGGATCCTCCTCCTCTTATAGAATCTGTAGTGGCACCCTCTCCTCCACAGAAAATCTTAATTAAGCTTCTCCAGAATCTTCACCATAATTGATTTTAGGACTATCAGCAAAAGAGTCTCTACAAAAAGAGTTCAATGTAGTCAAACTTCCTATTTTCCTGTTGCTCTATTTTACTTGGCCACTGTCTTGGAAGAGATCAGCTCTCCAGGTTCTGAACACCCCTTTTTCTAGTTTTTCACAAACATTTATACAGTTTAGTAGTTTGTAAAAGTGTGTTTGCAAATGCAAAATGTGGTTTTAAAAAAAAAAGACAGATCCTTTAACAAGGCCTCTGGCCTTGAGCTGGGCTTCACAGAGAAGTCTACATTTCTAAGGTAAGTTACCAATTGGGCTCCAAGGTAATACCTGGCAGGGGGAGGAAAGAAAGGGGAGAAGAAGCTCTCCCCTTCTCAGGTGCTGTCCTTGAAGGATTAACTTGCCCAGAACAATGAAAGAAAAAGCTGCTTTTATGTGATCTTCTGCAGACTGTGAACTTCTGAGCCCCTCCCCTTACTCCCTGGGTATAAAGTTCTGAAGCTACCTGAACTCGGGGTTCAGGGGATTAATTGATTACAGTGAAAGCTGTACCCTCTGAACCTGGCTGCAGTCAAATAAAACTGTTTCCTGATATCTTCGGTGCCCTGCCTCATCTGTCCCCTACAACAAATCTACTCTGTGTATCCATCTTTGCTGGCTCATCCATAATATTGTAAAGTACATAGTTGGTCTTCATCCCTGTTTCCTGGCTCATGACTTCTTCCCAACACAGGCCATGGAAACTAGAATTTCTCTTTTCCAAGGCAGATTGTAGAAGCCCTAATATTCCCTCCATTCCATCTATTCTTTTGGACTGGTCTTAAAGGAATTCTTCAACCTACCTTGTCTTATAGGAGGTTATAAGAGCCCCCTAATTTCAGGAGGGTCCTGCCCCATACTCTGGAGGGAGGAATGCTGCACAGAGAGGTCAAGAGAAATACTGAAGAGGACAGGCCTTGCTGGGTTCCTCACCAGGCTGTTAGCAACCATGTCTATACCAGGAAGCCCCCAGAAAAACCTAAAGGGTTCAGAGGGGTTCTGGATAACAGAATACACAGCGGTTCTGGAGGGTAGCACACCCAGAGAGGGAGAGGGGCTTCATGCCTCTCTCTGATATGTCAAAATTAATCAAAACTAAGGAAGGAGTTGTGTGAACTCTGATTTAGAGCCAGTCTGTCAGAAGCACAGGTAAACAAACTAAGGACTGAGAGTGCATCATAAGCAATCTTGGGGGCAGTTTGGGGGATTGAGCCCTCAAAAAGTAGTGTCAGAACTGAATTGGGGCTAGACACAGTGGCATAAACTTATAATCATAGCAGTTTGGGAGGTTGAAGTAGAAGGATCTCAAGTTCAAAGCCAGCCTCAGCAACTGAGTGAGGCCCTAAGCAACTTAGTAAGACCCTGTCTCAAAAAATAAATAAATAAATAAAAAGGGCTGGGGATGTGGCTCAGTGGTTAAGCATCCCTGGGTTCAATCCCTGGTATGTATGTGTGTGTATGTATGTGTGTGTGTATATATAACTGAATTCGACTAGAGGACACCCAACTGGTGTCTGCTCAGAATTGCTCACTCACTTGCTGTGGGGAGAAATCCCCACACATCTGATGTCAGAAGTCTGTGTTGATTGTGGTATGAGAGCAGAGGAAAAAGGAAGCCTTTTTTTTTTTTTTTTAAACAAACAGTATCCCATGGGGTTTGTTGGTTGGTTGGTTTGTTTTTGTTTTGGTCTATGATGCACTTTTCCATTTAAATCCCAAATGCTCTTAAAGACCCAGGCGGATCCTCACTTTCTCCCAAGATATCTTCAGCTTTCAGGAATCTTCTCACCCTTTTGTACAGTTGCAAAGTTCAACTGGGCCTTCTGTGCATTGCACCACCACTTCTCTGAGCTGAGGGAACAGGTCCGTGCTGAAATCCAGCCTCAGTTCTGAGGTCACAAAGCTACACACCTGCAGGGGACCCATCACCAAAAGGGGCACATTTTTCCTTTCTTTTTGATAATGTTTTTATTTTAGAAGATTTCAAAATATACAAAAATAGAGACAATAACATAATAACCCCAGGTGGCTCTGTCCTTCAGCCTTTGACAGAGAAACTTTGATACTTAAGCCATTTTTCAGGTATTGGATCTTGTGAATGACGTACTTGTGTATGAATTGCTTTATCCATTTTAAATCAGAGGTGACCCGAAAAGCTCTATATTTTCATCCATATCTTGAACAAAATTGATTTTACAATGTTCGCTAAATAATGAATAGTAAAACACACAGAGTGCACTGTAAATTCTTTCCCATGAAGCTTCAACTGTTATTGCCCTAAAAAAATGTCCTAATAGAAATTTTAAAAAGCCATGGACCCATAACTCTTTATTTTTGCCATAAAGCAAAACTTCTGTTGTGGCTTTTAATATAGCTGATATAAATAAAATCTTCTTGGATTCTGAGATGGCCCTTCTGATATAACTTCTAATGTATGACATTGGATCAACAATTATTGACATGCAATTATATGTGCTAGGCTCTAGGAGTTCTATCTATTTATGAAAGTCCATTGGAATAATAGTGGCAAGTGCAGGCCATCCACTGCAGACACAAGAATTGGGAGGGTTGTAAGGTGATGGTTGATGCTGTTCTTCCTCTACATTCTCGACAATGGTTCCTGCAGCTGTACCTAGGCTGAGTTAGAGACAGTCTTTGTCTCTCTCAGATGCTGTGTGCACAGCTCGGCAAGCCAAGCATCATTTATCAGCAGCTCACTGCAATCCCTTGCATGAGAATGCTGCCCCTGGGAGTCTGAACATCCAAGAACAATAAGAGACTGCCAAGGAAACCTAGTCTCAAACTGTGCCTACTGATGCTCAGCCACTTACCATAAAAACAAGTAACAATGCCCTGGTCCCCTCTAGAACCTTTTTTCCTTTTGGTGTATTCAAAAGGTGACTTTAAAGATAATACAAAACTTTAGCCTACAGTAGT